TGTAACACTGTGGCTCTCTCTGAGGTTTTTCATAGCCCTCCACAGGCAGGGTATGAAAAGGGCAGTATAAGGAGAGATCTACTTTGGCTCCTCCCTGTCCCCATGGAGTAAGGCTTTGTCCAGGCCACCCTGGAGCTACAAACACAGAAGCTCATCTCTTCTTGGCTCATCCAGGAAGCAGAGTTGTTGGCTTGCTCTCCACCCTGTATCTCTGCCTGGTGGCTGTAATTCTTCAGTCCAAGTGACCCTGAAGTCCATCCCCATGGCTATAGGAAGCCATCTCTGGGCTGAGGTGGGGTTTACTTCCATCTGCACACAGCCCCATGCTAAGGAAAGGAGGGGATGTTCCCTGGGGCTCCTGCTGGAAAGGGAGGCCTGACTGGGATCTTGGATTCACTTGCTTGTTGTTTCACTATAGCTGCTGAGGTGGGCAGAGCAGCGAAAAGGTCCAGCCCTGGGAGTGGGAAGGAACAAATCTATTACAGGTAGAGGGGAGAGGATGGTACTCATTGCCTGGTAAACAGATCGAGGAGTCCCACGCTGTGCCATGTGCATGAATAAAAGGTGAATGAATGAACAAGGGCTCTTGAGCCAGCTAGACTCGGCATAGGAAGTATGCTTTTCAGCACCAATGTTATCAGGAAAGAATAAGCAAGAAACCAAAATGAAACAAGTGTGTGCAAGTGCAAAATGTTGTGTTTCAAGTCTCTAAGGACTGGTTTGGGGACATTCAGTGGCAACAGACAGACAGGAACCTCCATAGTTCCCTTCTGTTTTTTCATGGATTCACTACCTGATTCGTTTCATCCTCTGTTCTTTCCATGATGGGCGGTGTTATGTCATGGAAGGAAACAGAAGGAAGATAGGGATCTAAACCTTGTTCTGGAATGTGCAGTGCAAACTAGACCTGTCCACACAGGAGTGTTTGTCAACCTGAGATGGTTATATACTGCTGCTCAATGACAGAGACTCAGAGAGGGCTTTCTGCCCACATGGGTTTCTACTCCTGACAGACCCAGCCTGTGTAGGTTTCTCTTTCCTGTTACATTGAATGTGCTTCTGTCGCCATCACCTGCCATCTATCTACTATGCCACCTTTCTGTGGCCATCAGAGGGGTCGAGTCCTTCCCTGCTCTACCCTTATTGCCCTACCCTTTCCTTTCACTCTACCCCAAACCAGTAGGTACTGAGAGTGAAGCTGCCTCATTCATCCCCCAGCCCCCTAGCAGAGTGAGTGCCTGGGCCAGAGAGGTCAGTTGCTAAGGATGGAAGCCCAGCATCAGCTGGCAAGGGACAGGGGAGGCAAGAGGTTGGGTGTGCCGCTTGGCCAACACTGCCCAGGTCCCTCTGAAACAGAACCTGTGGACATTCCAGATGTTCCAGATGAGGCTTTGGATGAACCTGGGACTCAAACCTGTCTCCTGGGACATTGTCTCACTTCAATAAACAGAAGACAGCTCTTGTCCCCAAAAGTGATGAGGGTATACCAACATCCAGTCTCCATGCAGTTTTAGATGCACTCACAGTACCAGGTAGCCCACTTTAGGTGACCTCATGGGCCCTCCAGGAGGTTTTTTTCTTACATCCTCATTGGCTCATTTTAGAAGACCCCCGTGACACACACATACACACACAGATAAATACCCTGTGTCTTCGATCCTTGAACTTGGGAACGGGAGTTTGAAATCCCTCTCTGAACTTCTATGTGCTTCTCTGTCTGCAGAGGGCCAGGTGTGGTTATCTTAGGTAGCACCTTCTTGGCCTCTTTTTTCCTGTGGGGGAGAGGTGAGCTGTTTGTCACCCGGCTTAATCAACTGTTGCTGCCTTGCAGTGATTGCCTTTTGGTGATAGGGCACCATTCATCTTCCCTGCAGCCCCATCCCTGTCCCCAGCATGGGGCACCTCTGCATACTCAGAGTTCTGAAGAGCATTCTCTTTTCCATGAGAATTATCTCCCACCTTTCCTAAACAGTTGAACATGAGCGTTTACAGGGTAAGGGACAAACAAGGAGATTAGGGAACTATGATTCTCCAGATGGAGGCTTCAACAGAGTCCATGTATACTCTCTAGGAGGCAGAAAGCCTTCTCAAACTGGCTGCCTTACCTGCTCTGCCAGGTTTGTCAGGGCCCTGGGGACCCAGAACCAAAGCAGACCCACTCTTGTTCAAGATATACTACCAGCCTAAAACAACCCTCAGCTATCTGAGGGGCTGACCTTAAGTTGTCTCTGTGAGAGTCAGAGGAGGGCAGCATGCCAGAAGGGCTTTGGAGAGAAGGTGACATCACAGCTGGACCTGGGAAGACACAAAAATTGATTAGGCAAAGGAGGTAAAAGGATGTAAGCAGAAGCTCCCAGGCATAGAATTCCTGGCTTGTGTCAGTCCAGAGGGGCTGAGGGCTTGGTAAGGGAGTTGAGAAAGGAGGTTTTAAAAAGCCAGTGGGCATAATTTCAACCCTTAGAGCATGATTCTGGGGTTCTTGCACCATAGGAAAAAGACCTTTCCTGCTAATTAAGATGAAGTGGGCTACTTTGAAAGGTGGTTAGCCTTTCAGATGTGCATCTGACGGGCATCAAACTTATAGTATGGAGGGTAGAAAGGCAGTAGGGCTCAAGCACCCTCAGTCTTTCTAGGCCTAAGTGCCTGGGAGCCTTTGAGGCCCTCACAACTCCTGTCTTTTTTCCTCTCTCAGCCTGCCTGTGCCCTGGCACCAGAGCTACTAGTGTGGAGACTCAGGGTGATGGGAAAGTCAGCCTTCCTCATTACATCCCCACTCCCCAAAACACAATTGAGGAAAACACATGCTGTTCTTTTATTCATCCTCACCTGATATGAGGGCTGGACCTTCTCCCATCCACAGCTGCTCTGCCAGGTTTGTCAGGGCCCTGGGGTCTGAAAGGGTCTGACTTTAGTTCTGGGTAAGAGTAAGCTAAGCTCAGCACAGAAAGTGCTAGAGGGATTTCTCCAGGATCATTCTGAACCCTCTCATTTGTGCAGGGCATATCACTCACTTTCCCCTCCAAGTCATACCCTGTTCTCCAATGCAATTTGTAGCCCTGGGTTTCTTCCCTCTCCCAACCAGTGCAGTTGAGGCTGGTACAGGTGGTCCAAGATTCCCTCCGTAGGCCCAAAGGAATCCTTTCCTTAGAGCCATGGATGTGGTGAGGGGCCAAACCTGAGCTGCTCTTGGAAAGTTACTCCACATCTCCAAGCTCCAGCATCCACAGTGTAGCTGTGTGAAACTATGGTAAAGTGCTTCCCAGGGAGCTGGGTCCTTCCCTGGCCCCTCCTGCTAGGCCTGGGAGGTAACAGAGAGAGCACTTTCATGGCCACTGCAGTCTCATTTAGATCTTACACAGCTCTGGGAACAGATGGTTGCCAGGGCCTGGGGTCCTCACCTCCCCAAACCAGCAGCTACAGCTGCTTAAAAAGCATCCAACATACCTCCCTGTGGTAGCTTTTCAGCTGCTACAGAACCACTTCTGAGGAAGACACACCATTGGTGTTTGTCATACTGGATGTAGATGGCCTCAGCCCCCTGGTTTCATCCTAGTTGGGCACTGCTGTGGATAGAATGTGGCCTCCAAATAGCCCCCTAGCCTATCTGGTGGGCCCTTTTTATCACAGTATGAGCCAGGCTGCTCATTTCTCTGCCTAGTGGCGCAGTGTGGAGGTGCAAGTGCTCAGGGATGTGGATTTTAAGCTCTACTGGGATCCAAAGAGCTCAAAGCTGGAGGTGCCCTGTCTTCCCTCCAGGACTGCTGGAACAGAGTAGGCCCAAGCTCTGCATGGGCATACAAACAGGCAGCGAGCACCCACAGGAATAGGGCCCTGAGAGGGGCACCACCTGGGCACGCCACTGTAGTCCACATGGATGATAAGTGAGGTCCCAAGAACCCCATACTGCAGCCTGACATAGATCAGGCCCCATGCCCAGGAGGAGCAAAAGGAGGCAGTATCTTTTGCAGCCTTAGTCCATTCAGGCAGGCATATCTCCATTATTTGGCTACAGGGACCCATGTGGGAGCCTGCCAGCTCCTTCCAGGCCTCTGAGGTCCTCTGCTAGTGACCAGCCTCCTTAACGTTCTTTTTACTCATCATTCCCTTTCTCTGTCACTCATGCCTTCCCTACACCTTGACTGAACCCCAAGTGGTTGTTAGATGTCATGTTGGTCACCAGGACCCTGCAAGGGACTAGATTCTGGAGCTGACAGTGGGTAGTATATGTCCAGTACTGCAGTGGGTTAGGGAGAGGGGAGGAGGGTCCCTGGCGGAGCAAACTGCTCAGAGTGAGGTGACAGGGGCCTGGGTATCATGGGAGCTGTGAAGATTCTCTGGGTACTGTAGGGAAGGAGGTGTGCAAGATAGGGCTGTGTTGGAGTCATCTGGGGGCAGCAGCCACCAGAGCTTCACCATGGTCCCCCTTTTGTTGCTGCTGTTGTTTTGTTTTGGTTCTGGGAATTGAACCCAGGAGTACTTTACCACTGAAGTACATTCCTAGTCCTTTTTATTTTGAGACAGGGTCTTACAAAGTTGCTGAGGCCCTCACTAAGCTATTAAGGCTGGCCTCAAACTTGAAATCCTTCTTCTTCAGCCTCTAGAGGTGCTAGGATTATAGGCGTGTGCCACCATACCCAGCATCATGTCCCCATTTAACCTAGTAGTTTCACCTCTAGGTATTGGTTGTACATCTAAGTCAGCACCTGTACTGAGAGGGGTGCATGTGACCTGAGTGCCACCATAGAAGATAAACCCAGTAAACCATGCAACATAGTCATACAAAAGAGGTAGCAGAACTGCATGCATGTCATTTGCCACCATTGAGGAGGAGGCAATAAGTGGAAGTGGCCACACTTCTGTCTTCTGGATGGTGAGAAGGGGCCAAGGAGTCCCTAATGGGATGGTGTGACTTTGGCACCATGGCAGGTTCCAGGCAGGAGTATCTCTGAGGCTTCAGCCATGGCAGTCCTCCTCACAGCCTACCTCTGCCCATCCCACAGGGCATCTGGCGGATCCCTGTGGATGAGATTGACCGGCCGGGCAGCTTCGCCTGGCACATGAACCGCTCCATTGTGCTGTTGCTTAAGGTGCTGGCCCAGCTCCGGGACCATAGCACCCTGCTGAAGGTGTCCTCCATGCTGCAACGGACCCCAGACCAGGGCAAGTGAGTGAGCCACACACGTACCCATCCTGGCCCGTGACCATGCTACCCTGAGTCAGTCATCTACCCAGGGCTTTTGTACCCTGCTCAACTTGGCCCTGAAGCCTACTTGTTGGGGAGTCCCAGCCAGCCTTTTCTCCTCAAGAATTCTCTGTCCCAGTGTCTAGAACCTAAGGGATATCGCTCCCACCCTCAAGCATTCCAGGGCCAAAACAGGCCCTCTCCACTGACCTTGGTTTCCCTTCCCTTTATTTCTTCTTAGCCTGGGACTCTCAGAGGTGGTGTCAAGTCCTGGGGAAAACAGATATTCATACCATAGCCATAGTACTCCAGGTAAAGGCCAGGAATAATGTGCAGCAGGAGAGCCATGTCTTCAATGGGGACCAGGGACCCCTCAACCAGAAGGGTGGAACAGCCAGAACAGAGGGGCACCTGACATAGCTGGTGCATGTAGGGGTTGTGTGGGAAATAGAGCTCACAGGTGGACTGGCCTGGTCATAAAGCCATAAGCTAGGCCAACCATCCTCCATTAGCTGCCTCCTCACCTTCTCATGGTTTTATTCACCTATGAGTTCCCAGGTAACATGCCACAAGTTCAAAGGGGCCTCCAGCTGGGGCTTGGAGCACCCTTGAGACAGACTTTAGGGAGAAGAACTAAAGCTCATCCTTCACCCCCACCCTCCCTAAGCCAGTACACAGGACTGGCCCATCATAGCCCTGCCTTCAGGGTTCACAGCCAGTCAAGAAGGTGCAGGGCAACCAGCTGGGGCTAAGTCAGAAACCTGTTGAGTGTGGAGGGTGGGACTCAGGTGAAACTTGGGGGAGCAGACCTCAGTAAGTGGGACACAGAAACAAACATTCTTGGGGCAGGAACTAGACACTGGGCTACTACCTAGCAGCACTGTGTGGTATCTGACATGCCCCCATCCTTTCTAATCACCCTGTGTCACCATAGGAAGTATCTACGAGATGCAGACCGCCAGGTTCTGGCACAGCGGGCCTTCATTCTCACTGTGAAGGTGCTGGAGGATACACTGAGTGAGCTCACAGAGGTATGTTGCCCATTACCCTTCTCCTCCACCACCAGTGAACTATGTGTGTACACCCTCCCTCTTCACCCTCCAAGCAGGTAGAGTACTGCTCCCATTTTGCAGATGAAAGAACCAAGGCCCAGGAGTTTAAGTGACCCACTTAACAGGTGAGGCTGCTGGAAACTGAGCCAGGACTGTCTCTTCAGAACCAGTGCCTAGTAAGGCTAGACTGGGCTTGATGGTATCTGGGTCTGAAAGTGTCCTTGCCACCAGAAACCCTGGCCTCATGTACCAGTGGTTAGAGAGACTTGGCTGTGCAACAAGCACATTTGGTGACCCTAGGCAGGTCCCTTCCTATAAAACACCCTGTGTCTCCCATCACAAAGGGACAAGAAGACTAGGCAGTGCCATCCCAGCTAGAGCCAGGCTTGTTACTCAGGAGTAGCAAATAAATAGTTCCATTGATCTGGCTACCTGGGAGTGTCATAGGGCAGTCTAAGGTTGACAGGAGTGACTTTGGGTGGGAGAGGATGTCAAAAGGTACAAGTTACCAATGTTTTATTTTTGGTTTCCTTGTAGGAGTCAGAACGCCCAGGGCCCAAGGCCTGTAGCCTCACTGGAGCCAGGATGACCACCGATGTCTCACACAAGGCCAGTCCTGAAGATGGCCAGGAGAGCATCCCCCACTCCAAGAAGCCCCTTTTGGCTGAGGGCTCAGGACCAGGTCCCGAGCCAGGGTGTAAAATTGGCCCACTCAACCACCGGTCCATGGCCATGGATGCAGGAGACAGTGCAGACCAGGGCAAGGAACAGAAGGACAAGGAGAGTTCCAGAGGAGGGCCTACTGAGCCTATGGACACGGGTGAGGCTGTTATTCATCGCCCAGACTTGGAGCGGACACCAGCTGTGCTGCCGGGTCGCCCCCCAAGGGACCGGGGCCCTGAGAGCAGGCCCACTGAGCTGTCCCTGGAGGAACTGAGCATCAGTGCCCGCCAGCAGCCCTCTCCATTCACACCAGCCCCACCAGTCTCCACTACCAACTCTTCCCCAACCACTGCCACAGGGGCCAGGGGGGTCAGCCATCCTGAGGAGCCACCCCCACGGCCCAGCCGCAAGAGGAAACTTCTGGAGGATACTGAGTCTGGCAAGACACTCTTGCTGGATGCCTACCGTGTGTGGCAGCAGGGCCAGAAGGGTGTGGCTTATGACTTGGGCCGCATTGAAAGGATCATGTCAGAGACCTACATGCTCATCAAGCAGGTGGGTGGGCCTATCCACACACCCCAACCTGCCCTTGGCCTTCTGTCCTCCAGGAGGCTTATTCCTGGGGGTCTAGATGTACCAGGTCCTGCCTCTGGGGTGGGTATTAGGTATCTTGTTCACCCCATCCAACTATGTGCTTTTTTTTCCTTTAGTATGATTTATTTGGTTTTATTTTGTTTTTGAGTCTTTCTACAATGATAAGGCAATACATTTAGAGTCAGAAAAATAATGAGCTTTAAAATGTCTGAATTCAGTCTTAAAGTAAAATGAAACCACATTGCAAATCCAATACTCAGAGATCAAACACCTGGTCCCATCACTATGAGGCAGTTCCTTTGAGACTTCTGTGGGTACCATCTAAGGGTGGCTGAAGTACCCTGAATGTGACCAAAGAAAGTGTCATCCTTCTCTTTTTGCCTTTTTTTTCTTTTCTTTTTTTTTCCCCATACTTCATTGGTACATTGTGGTTGTACATAATGATGGGATTTGTTGTGTTATATATTTGTGCATGCACACAGTATAACAATATAATTTGGCCAGTATCACTCCCCAATATCCTCCCTTTTCCTTCCTACCTCCCTCTCTCAATTCCTTTCCTCTATTCTACTGATCTACCTTCATTTCTTATGAGATTCCCCCAACATCTCTTTTCCTTTGTCCTCTCTAGCTTCCACATGTGAGAGAAAACATATGACCCTTGATCTTCTGAGTTTGACTTATTTCTCTTAATGTTTTCAAGTTCCATCCATTTTTCTGCAAATAACATGATTTCATTTTTAAGCACATATTTTTTTCAAATTGAAATTATTCCCATAGAAAGAATACCCAGAACTTCAGTGACAAGTTCAAATGGGTTGACCAAATCCCTGATTAACAATTTTTTTCCCCAAATTCTATCAATTTCCAGGACATTCTTTAAGATGGCCTGCCTTCACCTCACCAGCCACCAATGTTAACTTCCATTTGTTTTTGTTGCTAATTACTCAGAAGACAGTAAAAGTACTGCTGGTTTCCTTGCTAGGGAGCCTGCCTGGTCCCTTGCCCTGGCTTGCTCACTCTCCTGCCCTTGCTTGGCAATGTATAGACATCTCCTGCAAGCAAGTTCAGCCTGCTGATTGTCCAGAGTGACCCCCACATCTCCCTAGTCCCATACTAACCTCCTCATTGCTTGGTTTCTTGGTCTCCAGACATACTTGGCACAGCCCAGGACCATTACCATCATCTGCCCACCATCCAGACCTGGGTTTTCACAAGGCCCCTCCCAGTTGAGTCACAGTCCTCTATCCTGCCTCCTCAAGAGGCAGACTTTAGCCCAGAAGCCATCTAGAAGTAAATGGCCTCAGCCAAATTTGAAGGTTTGGTTGGGATCTGAATCCTTCTGCCAGCCTTAGCCTTTGAGAATGAATATTACTCACCACAGAAATTAACTTTGTGTAGCCAGAATAGTGGCTGGGTCCAGCACTGGCATCAGTACCTAGGACCATTGGGACCTTGACCTGCCCTTCCACCTGGAAGACAAGAGCACCTGCCCACAGTCATCACTGAGGGAGTCTGGGTGTGGTCAGCAGTGAAGAGGGCCCTTCACAGGAGTGAGGTCTCCCCCCCACCAAAAAAAAAAAAAAAAGGCTGGTCTGTGCTACCTAAAGGTCAAGGCTGGGAGGAATTCAAGCACCACTAAGCCCTCTGACCTTGGGCATCTCCTTGCTTAGGTAGATGAGGAGGCTGCACTGGAGCAAGCTGTGAAGTTCTGTCAAGTCCACCTTGGGGCTGCTGCCCAGAGACAGGTAAGCCCAGCCTCATCATGTAGGGCCGGCCCCACACCAAGGCCCAGGGCTATAAGTCAAGAAGTAGGTAGGCCCTGAGGATGGTTCTTATGGTCATAGTGGGCTGTGGGAAAATAAGCAGGAAGTGAATGAATCTCTAGCTGGTGGAGTATTACCCCAAAGTGGGATGCCCTTGATAGGGCCCAGATCCCTGGCATATGTGAATACATAACCTGATGGGTCCCTCCCCTTGTCTTGGCTCCTTTTCCAGAAACAGAGAGAATGACTTCAAGCCATTTGACCTCACCCAGAGTGGTCCTTCCATTTGTAGAGGACCAAGTAGCGTTAGAAGCAGGCCAATTAGGAGCAAAGTAGCTGGGGGCCTAGGGACCCACCAAATGAGGGTATGTAGTAGAAACAAAAAAGTGGAGACAAGTTCTCAGAGAATGGGTAGGAATACTGGTGTTTATCAGGCAGGGGAGTGATTGATGGATGGAGAGGGATAGAGCTGGTGCAGAGGCCAGATGAGGATAGGTGGGTCCAAGAGATGGTAGAAGCTTAACTGGTAAGGTAGAAATGGCAGGGGTGGAAGTGGAGTTAAAGCCCCTCCTGGGAAGTGCCTGGGAGAGCCCCAGCCAGAGTGGAGACTAGGGTTTTATTGAATCTGAAATTCTTTGAAGGAAAAGGCCATGAAGGCATAAAGTCAAGAGTGCCCTCACCCTGCCCCAGCTTAGAGGATCAATCCAGGCAAGAACACTATATGTGAGGAACCCTGGTATTGGTGAGTCTGTAATCATCAGTATGGACCAGAGGGTACGGGCAGGGCCAAGCACCTTGACAGGACCACAAACACAGGGAGGAGTCTTGGGACAAGAAAGAGTGGTATCCAAGAAAGATAGTGTTCTAGGAGCCAAATAGCAAGAATGGGGACCTACCAGATATGGGGACCCAGGGACTAGAGCCATTTTTGAGGAACAGGTTCGAACGTTCAAGGTCAGCTTTAGAAATTTAGCAAGGCCCTAAGCAATTTAGGGAGATCCTGTCTCAAAATTTAAAATTAAGAGGGCTGGGATATGGCTCAGTGGTTAAGTGCCCCTGAGTCAATCTTCAGCACCACCAGAAAAAAAACACAGAGGCTCATCATTTGAATAGGTATAGCCTTTGTTTACTCTGGTGGCCCCTAAGCCATCTAGTCCCAACAGCCCCAGCAACTGACTGGTGGCCACCCTGGGGGTCCAGATGGGCTTCCTCCCTGTGGAAAATGGAGCATCTGGCCATAACTCCTGCCAAAGTTCTAGGTCTTAGAAAGCCCTGGTGAGTTCCCTTATACCAAGCAGGCTATGGACCAAGCAGGGGACTCTCTGGGGGTCATAGGTGAGCCCTGTCTCCTGAGAGCCAGAGTCCTTGGCAAGATATGCCCCCAACCTGCCTGTAGTCCTTACCACTTTATTATTGCCAAAGGGCACAGCACAGTTGGCCATGGCCTCTTAACCCCCACCATAGCCTCCCTTCTCCATGGGGCAGAAATAACTGCTGAGGCCCTTGTGCAGGGCTCAGGCCTAAGCCCTCCTAGAAACCCCTCTTGTCGCCTCTACTGACCCAAGTGGGGCAAGTGAACATGCAGACAGTGACCACAAACAAAAGAGGAGGACTGTTTTGTTTTTTCAATATTGGGAATTGAACCCAGGGCCTTGTGCATGCTAGGTAAGCTCTCTACCACTGAACTACACCCTCAACCATTTTTAAACGTTACTTTATCTTGTGATGGGGTCTTGCTAAATTGGGCAGATTGACCTTGAACTTGTGATTCTCCTGCCTCAACCTCCTGAGTAGCTGGGATTACACATCCAGCTTAAAGGATAGACTCACACAGGAAATATTCATATACTTTTCTCTTCATTGGAACCTAGCTGGCAAGATCCAAGGGCAGCTATCATGTTCAACAGTCAGGATTCAATCCCTGGTACTGGGGGGGTGGGGGGGGACAAGGGCAGGGCAGAGTCTCATATATTAGAGGACCAGTAGCTACTTGGGCATGCTCATATCGGGGCCCCTGAGAGATGTGGACAGAGGTTTCCTTATTTCAAGGACCTCAAAAAATTTCTGGGAGTGGCCAGAACTAGGGCACTGGGATCTTTAACTTTTAGATTGCCTACTTCTGGGCAATGTCAGTTCAGGCACTAGTGTAACCCAGTGTAGAGGAGAGCCAATCTAGTGGTCTTGAGGTCCTCCCCATCAATGTTCCACCTGTCACCCATTTCCTAGACCCCAGTGGAATGGGATGCCCCTGGTATTACCCGAAGCCCTCTCACCACAAGTCTGGCCTACAACTCTTGCCTCAGGCCTGGAGCATCACTGCTGAGGGCTATTCTGCTCTGGTCTTCATCTCCCTCCAGAGGCCATTTCCTGCCTCCCATCTCTCACTCTTCTGGAACCTTTGTGTTTTGCCCCCTTCTCCTAGAAGAAGCCACCTAGAACACTCCCCTTAAGCCCTCTGGTTAGGTTCCCTTGTCTTCTCCTATTGCCTCATGTTCATCTCAGCCAAGTCATCCTCTCCTGGTGTTATGGAAGGCAGGGTATTATCTCAGGGTCTTCTTCAAAGCCACCCAACCTTTACCTCCTTTCCCACAGGATCTGGCAGTACCCTCCACCAACCCCATACTTCAGAGCCATCAGTTAGGATGATCACAGCCATCCTGGGCCCACTTCTGACCAGAACCAAGGAGAAGAAAGCCATGGCCCTCAGAGTCAATGCTTCTGCCCCTCAACATGTCCCAATTGCTGTGGCAGCTCTATGCACGCCTGGAGGGTGCTCGGGACATTGTAAAAAGCTAGATGCAGTTGCCTGTGGCTGAGACCTACTCCTGAGTGAGAATAGGGACATAGCACTTATCCTCCCGCTCAAGTCTGCTCGCATTGCAACTTGGGGTGCTCCTAACTCTACCACTCTGGGCACCCTGAGAGCCAGGGCTGTCCTGCCCCATCCTCCCACCAAACTTGCTGCCCTTAACACCAGCCTGGGGCTTATCCCAGGCACCCACTACATGGCAGAATTTCCAGGGCCTGTCCCCCATCATATGGATCTCAGAATGATGGAACAATTCAAGCAAAACTTCATCAGAAGAGGCAGGATTATCAGTAGAAGCCAGCTTCCCAATGAGATGCCCACCCTTTAGCCTTTGACTCTCCCAATTTGCAGGGTGGAGGGTCCTACTGCCCCAGTGTGGGCAGCTCATACAGTACAGTGGGCCTGGTGCTGGGGTAGGGGGTGGGGGTCCAGGTGCTTTGCTGTGAGAGGCTACCACCTTGAGTTACCCTACCTAATCTCACTTTGAAGCACACTGTCAGGCACTATGGACTTCACATTTATGCAGCCCAGGAGGGGGATCGATCGTGGTTGGGAGGAGTGGGTATGCCCTGTGTAGCTCCAAAAAGGGTCTCATGACAGAGGGAGCTGTGTGAAGGAAGACTTTTGGAGGCCCCTAAGAGAACCAAAGACCTGTGGCAGGTGCATTGCAAGACCAGGCTGTAGGCAAAGGGCCTATTTGGGACAGCATTAGGCTGGGGCTTGCAGCCAGTTGCAATCCCAAGCTCAGGGTGTAGATTCTTGTAGTATTCTCTTGGAACCACTAGTGTCCCTAGGAGTCCTTGTCCAAGACTGACCGTGCATTCCTAAAGTTCCCAGATTAGGCCTATACCCTATGCCTTGGGTCACAGCTGGATATGATTTTCCAGACCGGCACCCTGGAGTGTAGGGGGAGGTCAGCTGGAGATCTTCACCGAGTCCCCACCAGCAGGGCTTAGACATCTCCAAGAGGGGTGCACAGTTCCCAGCTATATGCTGACATTAGCATTTTTCTGGAAGGGTGCCTATGGATCTTGTTGGCAGCAGGATGGGGCTTAGATGCCAAAGGGTCATGTTGGCATTCCAGATCCAGACAAACTGTCCTATGGGACTGCACTGGGTTGATGTGAGGGAGGACAGTGTGGGCCCAGGGCTGACCAGCTGGCCTGCCTTACCTCTCCTCTGTCCTCACAGACCTCAGGGGACATGCCTACCACCCCCAAGCACCCTAAGGACAGCCGAGAGAACTTCTTTCCTACAGTGGTAAGCACCACAACACCTGACCCTATGCCAGCTGATGTGCTCCAGCGACCCAACGACATCCACACCAAACCTCGCCCTGCACTGGCTGCTGCCACAACTGTCATCAGCTGCCCTGCCTCAGTATCAGCCTCTACTCCAGATTCAGCCAAGGACCCTGGGCCCCCCCAACCACACAGGCCCGAAGCCACCCCCAATGTGGCTTCTCTGGGCCCAGGTGAGTCCCATCCTGGTAAACTGGTGTATGGGGCCCCTACCATTAGTCAACAGCAGCTTCTGCTCCCTGAATAGAAAGCATGGGCAAAGGGGGAAGGCAAGGGTATCCTCCAGCCTGTGTGATCCCACAGGAGAGCAGGGATTGCTGGTCTGCTCGTCAGTGTATGGCAGCATCAGTGGTGCCAATCGGTACATCCTGCACATACCAATCTCAACCTAACCCTACATGCCATCTGTAAAGGGGTAGTGATGAGAGTAGGGGCAAGCACCATCATTTGATGTTTGCTGCCATAATGGTTTTCTCTCCACTCCCCCCAATAAAGCCTTTCAATAAATAAGAAAGATGGCTTGATCAGGTAGGAAGGGGAAGAACACAGACCAGGCCTCCCATGGGTATCAGGAGGGCTCCTGACTCTGACACACTGCAGGGCCACCAGTACTTGGCCTCCATTGTTCCCGCACTAGATCTGCTCAGGTGCCATCACACCCCCATGGACAAGACAGAAGGAAGCCATCCAGGATAAGAAATCCCCTGGAAAGGCAGCCTGTCTTTCAGGGCCACCTAACAGACTAGACAAGTCTGGGCCAGGAGCTTTTCTGGGAGAAAGGGTCATTGAGGCAGCACCACACAGGCCATAAGGAGGAAGGGACTAAGCAAAGCACTATCTCTTTCACTGGTGCAGGCATGCTTCTGGCTTAGTGGCTATGATTCTACCTGAACAGCCCCAGCCAGGCTCTGAAGACCCATAACAGGACAGGGATATTCCCTGACCAGTTAACCTCCCCAGCTGGTGGGTCCCTAGCCAAGACCAGTCTGGTGAGTTGCCTGTGTCCCCAGAGCACATTCAGGGATGGATGTGTCTCCTTGGCCCTGTATTTCAAGCTCCACCCCCATGCTTCTCCCAGCCTGTGCTCTTGCCTGAGACCCTGCACTGGTCTACAGCCAGGCTCCCACCTACCCACATCTGGAGCCATCCCTGAAGGCTTACCTGTCCATCCAGTAACAATCCAGCTATCTTCTCCTTGAGCATGAGGGATAGCCAGTGGAGAGACAGGGATGACTGCCTCAGGGACTGCAACTGTCAAGTCTCCTCTGTAACCACTGTCTTGGTTCTCTTGCATGAAACCTGGGTCAGTGTCCTGGGTTAATGTGTTTTCAAGTTTGCTCCCCCAGGGCTCAGCACTCATTTAGCATGGACTCCCAATCTTATGCCATCACCCTGGCTTTGGCTTTAGTCCTGCACATTCTGTAGTCACTGGGAGCTTTTACAGGTAGCCACCCCCCCCATTACAGCCATATTGCCACATAACCCTGTTATGTCTGGAAATTTAGACCCTGCTGGGAGCCAGCTCCTTCCTTCTGAGAACTTTCTCTGCTCTAGAGATGTGGGCTTGATGGTATTTACCTGTCCCAGCCTGGCCCTAACACCAACCCAGAAAGCTAGGGAGCAAGCTGGATACCTGGGCCATTAGAAGGACCCTCTGCCAGGCCTACGTGGGCACATATTCAAGATTTTCATTCTGACAAAAAGTCATTTAATCTAGTTTTGGGGAAGGAAGTAGAAAAGGATTGACTCTCCAGACTGAAGAATGTGCACTTGATAGTCTTCCTTAGATACAACAGTTAGAGAATAGGGTGTGAATTGCAGGTTTTCACCTACTTGAGGGTGGGGCAGGCAATGCCAAGAAGGAATGAAGGCAGCCGCTCTAGGGCTTCCTGGTTCCCTTCCCAAGGAACTCTTTCCTCACTGTACCAGGTTTGGTGTGTGGCCATCTGGCTTTTTCACAAACTATTGGATCATTGGTTCATCATGACATGGGGAATACTAGCTATCTATTGAAAGGCCCACAGGGGAGGAACTAAGATTTCCAGCCAGTATCCACTGAGGTCATCAAATGGCCAACCAACCCTGAGAGAACCCTAGTTTGTCCTGCCTGCTGTAGCTGTACACAACATCCCCAGGCCCCAGTAAGCTCACCCACCTGCCAGGCCAGACTGCCCAAACTGGCTCCATGCAGCAGATGTACCCCTCAAGTTTGGCCAGGGCTCAAGGTCCCTGTGTCTCTTAAGGGAGTCCCAGGCACTGCCTATCACTGTGCAGCTTCTTCCAGTGTGTCTATCTCCTTGTTTGCTGGATGTCCACCCACCCTAGGCCAGGTCCTAGTTTTGTGTAAAACAGACTCCCCAGAGGATCCTTTTCTCCAAAGCCATTGTGTCTTCTAGGGTGGGAAGAGTAAAGCAGAGTGGAAATGCAAGTAGTATTGAGGGTAGTGAGAGTGCTGGCCTCATGCAGGCCCTGAGAGGCCAAGGAAAGTCTGAGCCAGGCCCATGGTCTCCCAGAATATGAGCCTTGGAGACAGCTAGACCTGGTGCCAATCTGTGTATCTGTCCTGGTAAACAGGAGAAATGTCCTGATTGCATAGAATCTCTGCCTGAACACCTGCTCCCCAGACAAGAACCCAAGGCTGGGGAAGCTCCAGACAGCTCTTCTCTGCAGGCTGTTCCCTTAGTAGGTCCCACCCCTGGGTTGCCCAGATGGCTCTGGTGAGGGGAGGAGACCACCTGATCTAGGGAACACCTCACTGTGTGTCCAAGTCTCTGCTGGACTCCACACAGGGGTATACCTTCTCTTCTTGGTGGCACCCTGAAAAGGCAGGCCTGAGAAAGATGGATAATCAATGAGGCTGCTACTAGGGCTGAGAAGCCGTGGGCCCCAGGCCTGTTCAGAGTGTGCTTGACCCACCTCATTGCAGCCAGTCTATAGATTTATATTACCAAGAAAGCCAGGCTTGCTGGGCATAGTGGTATATGCCTATAATCCCAGCCACTTGAGAGGGCTGGGCAGGAGAATCTAGTCCTGAGGCAGGAGACTCTTAGGCTAGCCTCAGCAATTTAGCAAAGCCCTAAGAAATTTAAGGAAGAGACTCGTCTCAAAATTAAAAATAAAAAGGGCTAGGGATATGGCTCAGTGGTAAAGCACCTCTGAGTTCAATTCCCAACACCAAGAAAGAAGAAGAAGGAAAAAAAAAAGTTTCTAGCCTCCCTAACCTGAACAGCTCCCTACATACACACTACTGAGGGAATAGCTACAGAAGGGAAAAATCCGGCCAGAGCAAGGGCAGGCCATTAACCCTACAAAAGGGCATGACCTTAGATCCCAGGGCCAAGGGAAAATCAGCTTAGTTTAGTGGTGTGTGTCCTGTCTCCAATAGTTGGGGGTGATGACTAGGAATTACTAGAGTGGCCTTCTGAAACCATTGTGTTGGGCTATCTATGAGTATGGATTGCCAGGTGGTGAGACCAAGAAAGGGAGTGGCTCCCCAGAGCCAGGCTTAAGATAAAGCCTCCTCACAGACCCTGCCCTTAAGCAGCTCAGTGGAGACCAGGGAAGCTTAATGGCCCTTAGGCCTCTGCCTGCAGCCTGGTCTATCTTTGTCTCAGGAGTTATCACACATGCCTGGCCAAGGAGGGGAGCCTGCTTCCCCTGATGGAAAAAGTGGCTGGCATTCCTAGTAAAAAGAGCCTAAAGGGCAGGCAATGGGACAGTATCAGCATGCTGAGAGATTCTAGCTCTGAGGAAGCAGGAAGAAGAGAATGACTTAGAAGACAGAGAAGAGACTAGAAACAGGGTCTGGGGAGGCCTGGGCATCTGCAGCACTGATGCTGAGTAATGGCCTGGCTGTCGGCCACAGGCACTGCAATAGCCCCTGGGGCCCATCTGGTCCTTGGCACAACTGAAGCCAATTCCTCATCCCTGCATTGTGCCAGGGAAGGAGTGGTCTGGCTCAGCATGAGGGCACAGTGCCAGTGTGTTCTCTGTCCTCTTTGGTCTTAGTTGGGTAGTTGTGATTCTAATCCTGACTTTAGTTCTCAGCGTCATTCCTGTGAGCCAGAGGAGAGAGAAGACCCCCATCCCATGATGTAACCATAGTGGTGTTTTACCCAGGTCCAGGGGCCATACAGCCTTCATTTTGGCCCCTAGTGTGTCTGATATACTTCCAGTCCAAGTAGGAAACAACTCCTAATGTCCACTTGGGGGCTGAGAGGTTTCCTGAAAGTACCAACCTAGATTGTCCCAGAAGAGTTCCTGAGGGTCCCCAGTCTGCTCCTGTGGAAATAAAGAGCTGCTTTAGCCCAAGCTCCCCACTTTGGACACATTTCTCTTCTGGGTGTCTGAGAGCACAGCCCAGGCTCACAGGGCCCACAAAAGAGGCTCTGCCCTGGGAGGTATTATGAGTATGTCACCTGCATCTGGCCTATGTCCCCACAGAGGGAGAAGAGCTGGCAGGAGTGGCAGAGAGCACTGGCTTCCCACTTCAGGAGCCACGACGCAGTCAACAGGTGAAGACGGCCCCCACAGGTCCCCCAGTAGAGCCACACTGCTGGACAACAGAGGCTACCCCCCAGATAGGTGCTGAGCCCACCTGCAGCCAAGGTAAGGCCAGCTGGGAACAGCTGGGCATTGGTTCCCACAAGGCTGCTTCACAACTGGCAGCCAGGGAAGGCTTCTCTACAGAGGCACCAAGCCTGAAGGCAGGCCTGGGGAAGGTCAGTTGAGATGAGGTGGGAAAGAAAGGCAGGAGAGGGTAGGGGAGCAAAGGAGGAACCTAAGCTGGAATCTGATATGGACCATTGTCAGGGCCCTAGAGCCTCTTTCATTCTGCCCCTGGCTTCACAGAGGAGTTCCAACAAGGACAGACATTTTGATTGGGCCTCTTAGCCATCAGCCCACTGCAAAGCCCAGACAGGACAAGAGAAGAATAGAAATGTATAGGGAAGAACTTGGCTTGATCACTGAGGCATCCCCACTGAGACAGCCTAATCCCAACCTCTGTCCTGCATGTTCCCACCAGCCACCCTACCCATTCAGGCCCCTCGGGAACTCCCCCTGCTGAGCCTCCCACAGACCACTCAGGACAGTAAGACCTGGCGCCAGCCTGCAGTGACCAGGCTTAGGCTTTGAGTAAGCCCCACTCCTTTTAAAGCCATGGGACTGCAGAGGAATGTGGAGCTCTGCCAGGCCTGCTGTGCTTCTCCCAGCTCACGCAACTCCCTGGAGGCTGCCAGGCTCTAGAGCTGCAGCCTGCAACTGCTGCGGCTTCTGGTATCCAGGAAAATACAACCCCTCACTCTCCCTGGAGTGTAAGGGAAAGTGGATGTACTAGGGCTGACTCAGTGACCACACCTGGCTATTGACTGTCTCTGGGCCTCAGTGTCTTCCCTGAGGTATGGACATCAATAGGTCTTGTGGCCTGGAATGGTTTGGGGGATCTAACAGTTCATGTAAGCTGTGATGTCTGAGAGGGCCATGGAATCCCTGGGAAGGCTTAGGGATGTTCCCATGTCCCAGGCCCTGAGCTCTCAGAGTTCATGGTGCTTCCAGGTCAGGGTCACAGTCCCAGCACCCCATGGTCCAGAGCCAGAGTTGAGTCCCTATGGGTAAGAAGTAGTTGACCAGGTTGGAGGCCTGGGGGCCTGACAGCCAGAACAAGCATATTGGCATGCAAGCCCAGGACCAGTGGGCTGAGAGAAGGCACCCACTTTCTAATGCAACAAGGAAGAGAGATGCTCAGGGTATCTCTGTCTTCTAGAGGGGAAACCGAATCCTGAGCAGGGGAGGGACAGGCAGGCTCAGGAGGCTACAAGCAAAGTTCAGCTCCTGAGGTCTCACCCCACAGCTGCCAGCTCCGAGGTCCCCAGCAGTGGGAGTACTCAGCCACCTGAGGGCCATCCAGGCAAGGCCGAGCCCAGCCGGGCCAAGTCCCGCCTCCTACCCAACATGCCAAAGCTGGTGATCCCCTCGGCCACCACCAAGTTCCCTCCGGAGATCACCGTCACACCGCCCACCCCGACCCTGCTCTCCCCTAAAGGCAGCATCTCGGAGGAGACCAAGCAGAAGCTAAAGGTGACCACAAGTACTGGGCAGAGGGCACCAATTACAGGGAGCCTGGGGTGGGGGCTTGGGTTCTTGGGGGTCTTAGGGCAGGGGATTGGGCAAATGGGAGCCTGGGGCAAGGGCTCAGGTTACTGGGGGGGAGGGAGGAGCTGTGAAGAAGAGGGGCTTGGATAAAGTCAAGAAGCCTATAGTAGGCCAGGCATCCTTGACCAGTGTCCTGCCCTGTCTGCAGTCGGCCATCCTGTCTGCCCAGTCAGCTGCCAACGTGAGGAAGGAGAACCTGTGTCAGCCAGCTCTGGAGGTTCTGGAGACATCCAGCCAGGAGTCTTCACTAGAGAGTGAGACAGATGAGGATGATGACTACATGGACATCTGAGGAAGGCCTTCCAGAGCCCCACAGCCACACCCAAGGGGACAGAGTGGGCCTGGAATCCCCTTTGGCCCAGACCCTGAGCAAGGCCAGAAACCTAAGTGGGTATTATTTCCCATGCAGCCTCCACCGCCCACCAGCCCTGTCTTCCCAGCATCCTGCTGTTCACAGATTGGGCTGTCCACACCCACAGTGTGGGGGCCCAGAGGAAGAGGAGGAGGCCCAATTTAGCCCTGTAAGGATGGATTGGTGTATCTGCACAACAGGGCCAGCATCATTTTCTATGAAATGTTTGTAAACATGCTCATACCTAGCCCAGCAGGCTGTATCTACAACCTGACCCCAGGACAAAGTGGGTTCTGCCTAGATCCCAGTGGAGGCATCACCTGGGCCAGGCTTGCCTCACACCTTTTTTTTTTTTTTTTTTTGCGGGAGGGGGGGGTGTTCTTTTTTAATAAAGATGGAACAATGGTCTTCACTGCTTTGTTCTCCCAGTGGGGCTGGAGGTGGGGAGGCCCCAGACTTCGGGAGGTTGATGTCCCTGGTTTCTGACCTGATTTCCTTCTCTTAGGCTCAGCTCTTGGGCACCACAAGAGTCTGGAGAATGTAGAGTGTCATAGAATGCTGCAGACTCCTCTAGGCAAGGCTGGCATTGGGCCTAAAGGGGCATTTGGGAAGTCCCCAGAGTTCACTGGATGCCAGAGGGACTGGCAGTGAAACACCATGCAGAGGGAGGTATCATACTTCCCACCCCAACAGGACCTGCCACATAAGTTGTGGAGCCCAGCACAAGATAGATATGTGAACCTCTTGTACAAAAATTACTAAGAATCTTAATGTGACAACAGCCTTAAACAAGCCCCTAATGCTGACCCTGCCCTCACAGGCTCCAAGCCTGTCTATTTTGAGGATGCACGGTTTCCAAATGCTCACACTTGCCCTTTACGACTGTCATTCCCTCTCTGCTCTTCAGAGACCCATCTGTCCCTAAACTTTGGGCCAGGTTGGAGATGGGGCACCTCCTTACTGCTAGCTAGGTGGCCCTGCCCAGGAGAAAAGGCACCAGGAACAGGGCACTATCCTGGATCCCCAGCCTAGGCCATTTGGAACTAGAGATATGCCAGCCCAGGGGGATCCTGGCTGGACCTGCCATCTTGGGACATGAGAACTGGTCCAGCAGTTCCTCAGGCCAGCCCTTGCCCATGTGAATGAAAGCACCCACAGCCCTGGTCCAGGCTGGGGTATAAGCTGCTTCCTGGCACAGGACATCAGTGTCCAGATGCAGGGCACACCTTAGGGAAGTACCCTTAGTGTTCAGCAACCCTGTGCATTAAGGGACTTTCTCCCTTCTTGGAGGTAAGGGTCTCACAGACTTCTTATCAAATGTCTCTGTGCTGCACAAATATTATAGAATGGAGGCAGGGGTTCCCAAGGAGCAACTCTGCCCTTTTCCAACTCCCCCAACCATAAGCTTCCTCTGACAGTTTCAGTAGTTGCTGAAAGCTCAGTCCTTGTCCTCAGTGCCAATCCAATAACGAAGACACAGAAAAAGAAAAAAGGTTTATTGCTTTGCTAGCAAAGGAGAAACATAGGGGAACTCTGTCCCAGAAGCTGTGATTCTGCCTATCAGCAGGAATAGGGGGATTTTAAGAGGTGATTCAAAGGCTACATTCCACGTGTACACTGTTGAAGTTGTAATTCACTTGTTCATTTGGACATAGTCATTTCTGAGAGCTGGTACTATCTCCAAAGTCTGGATTACTTTGTTCTTATGGTGAGTGTGTGCTCAAGAACAGATAAATCTGCCTAAAATGTGAAAGAAAGGTAATCTGTTTCCCCTGAGATTAGGGAGGAGCCTAAAAAAGAAAAGAAACTTCCATTTAAAAGATAAGTTGCAGGCTCAGAGGTAGAATGCTTGCCTAGCCTGTGTGAGGCATTGGGTTCAATCCTCAGCACCACATTAAAAAAAAAAAAAAAGATATTGTGTCCAGCTGAAAAATATTTTTTTAAGAGAGGGAAGGAATTTTTCAGTTTTCAGTGGACACAATATCTTTTATTTTTATGTGGTACTGAGGATCGAACCCAGCGCCCTGCGCTTGCCAGGCGAGCGTGTTACCGCTTGAGCCACATCCCCAGCCCTGAAAAATATTTTTAAATAAGTAGCAGTGGCAGAGCAGCAAGGGCTATATTCAAAGTATAAAATGGACCACTGTTATAATAGGAGCCAGTCTCTCTGTTTGGATCTGGACCCAAGGGAGGAGCAGGTGGGTGACCACTAACATTGAGTAGTTTAGGGCAGACCTAGGTGAGAAATGGGAGAATAATGAACTGATGGGGCCTCAGGCCGAGGCAGGTCACATCCCAGATGGCCTCAACTCGGTGCTGTGCAAGACTAGCTGCAAAGTTAATAAACACCCTCTTAGGACACCTTGAGAAGCTGCAGCTAGGGTAGGGGAGGACCACCTACCTGTCCTAACATTCAGCCCAGGTGGCAAATCCTGAGTGAGAAGTCCTAGGCCTGGAACTTAGCTCTCCCTGATTGCATGGGCTCCCAAAAGCCACCTGGGGCCTGATTTGTCCCCTGCTGTCTCCATCTTGCTTCCTCATCTGCCCAAAGATTAAAGAGATTATGCAAACTCTGATGAATGACAGCTCAAGGGTGGGTGTAGTTGGGCAGGCTGTGCATCTGTGGGCTCCCTTGTCCAGGTTGGAGGATCACTTTTTTGTGAATGGGCCTGTCTCAGTCTCAGGGAACTCCCCTCCTTTACCCTTTCTCCCTCCAACAGGAATCCTCCCAGAGCTGTCTAGCCAAGGATCAACCTGAGACTGACCTGACAGCTCCTTCCCACACACCAAACACATGCCCACCAGGGGCAAGCCCTGGCTAGAATCTGTTTGCTTGTTCACCCCATCAAACTTTGAGGAGGAATTAGCAACACCTCCATGCAGGAAACTAAGAATTGAGGATGTGAAATCTGACCAGAAGGCACAGGGGCTGGAATCCTGCCAATCTCAAGCACAGACCAGATTCACCCATCCTGCAGCAGGCTGTGCATCTGTGGGCTCCCCGGCCCAGGTTGGAGGATCACTTGAGCTTGTGAGTGGGCCCGTCTCAATCTCAGGGAACTCCCCTCCCCTTCCTCCCTCCAACAGGAATCCTCCCAGAGCTGCCTCTGGCCAAGGATCAACCTGGGACTGACCTGACAGCTCCTGCCCGCACACCAAACACCCGTTCAGGAACCCCACCCTTCAGCCCCTCTATGTAGGACTGGGCTGGGACCCAGGATCCAAGCTGCAACCTCTGAACATCCGGCTCATCACGTGCCAAAGATTCTGCAGCTGGAGGCTCCAGCCCCATATCCCTCCCACAACGTCCCAGGGCTGGGTTTCTTCCCTCTCCCATGTCCTTTGCTTGGGCCAGGAATGTGCTAACGGGGCAGGTTGGGCTCTGCTGTTCTACTCAGGCACCTGTGGACTTTGAGAGGGGAATAAGTGGGGTGGGAAGGGAGACGGGTGGGGTGGGGAAGGGAGGGGCGGTGCCTCAAAGCTCAGGGCAGGCAGGCGGGGCCAGGCCAGCAAGGAGTAAGAGCCTCCTGCCGCCTCTGAGCTACTGCACTGCTGCTGCTGCTGCTGCTGCTGACTACAGACCCAGACCTCACCATGAAGCTTGCCCTCCTGCCCTGGGTCCTGCTGCTGCTGGCGACAGTCCCCGGCTCCAGGCCCAGGCCCACAGCAGGTATGTTCCCACCCGCTTCTGTCCCCCTGTCTATCAGTCCATCGGCCTAATCAGCCAGGCTTGGGGTAGATTATGCAATCTCTCCACTGGATTATCTGTGCTAAGGTTGACCCCAGCCCCATGGAACTTATGGCTTTCCATTTTGTCCACATGCTGAGGGAGAGCAGTTCCAAGCCCCGCTGGGCTTGGCCTCTGTCCATCTGTCAGGGCCTCTGTGACTGTGCTGGGAGTAGTGGGAAGAAATTCTGAAGCTCCAGGGTTGAGGGATGGGAAGGAAGTCTGGACTGAGCCTGCCTTATGCTTCTGGGAGACGGGAAGCCATGGCTGCCTAGAAGAGAGGTAGGGGAGAGCAGCGGAGCCTTTGGTCTGCACCCCAAATCCCAGTGAAGAGTGTGGTTGCATATGGAGAGCCCCCAATTTCCCTCCCAGCTCTAGGCAGGCTTGTTAGTCCTCATCAGGGTTAGACTGAACCCAAGAAAATCTAGCAGAAGGCCTGAACTCCAGAGTTGGGACCCTGGCCTCAGGCTCAGAGAGGCATCACCCACCCACAGCCCTCCACCCCACCCTGTCTTCCATCTTGCAGGGAAGTATCACAACCCTTCTGCCACTTATTGGCATATAGAAGCCTCTTCCCCACACCACTTGAGACAATGAATATTTATTGCCACTCTTGAATGCCAGGCACTGCACTTAAATAGGGACATTCTGGTGGCTCAAACCCAGGCCCAGCCCTTGACTGGCCTCATTTGGTTGTGGGGGATGGTGTAGGGCCAAGTGAGATATGTGATTCTAACTTGAGTACTTCCACCCCACCCCAGTCTTTGCCCTACCTCAGGTCCCCATTATCCATAGGAGAAGTCTTAGGCGTGACCTCCACAGCTCCCCATGGCACACCCCTGACTACCTTTTCCCTATTCCTTGGCTCCCTATTAGAAATGTCCCTCCTCTTCCCCCAGAGGAAGGAAACACCCCTGACCTTCTTCCCTGAAGTTGGGGCTCTCGTTGGAGTTCTATTGTTGCCCCCTGGGAAAGTAAAATGGGTCAAGCTCAGCCCAGGCACCAGTCCCTCCTAGATCTTTAACGTGGCTATGTGACCAGACCCCAGCCTTGGTGAGCAAGAAGTGTCCTTCTCCAGACTATGGAGTCCCAAGATAGCACACTGTCCACAGACCCATCTGAGAGCCAAAAGAGGTCCCCAGGCCCAGGTCAAGGACGCAGGCAACTGTGGCCTTCCCAGAACGCCTGCCCTGTGAGCTATAAGGCCTTAGTGTCTGAAAGCTAGTAGATCCCTGAGAGTTATTTCTGACCCTATAAGGTTGAATGTCTGAGGCATTTTTCTTCATTTTACTATTTTCTAGTCACTCCACTGGATTATCTGTGCTAAGGTTGACCCCAGCCCCAAGGAACTCATGGCTTTCCATTTTGTCCACATGTTGACCAGGGAGGGCAGTTCCAACCAGCATTCCTCCCTGGGAATGCTTCCCTTAATTGACTCTGGGGAAAATTAGAGGCAGGCCCTGTGCTTAGAGCAGCAAGCCTAGCATGTACCTTAGCCAGATGCTCAGGATTTTCTTTTCCAGGTGCCCAGGATAGCTGTTCCTTGCGCTGTGGGGACCGGAATGGGCCCTGCTCCTGCCACCCAACCTGCTCAGGCCTTGGCACCTGCTGCTTGGACTTCCAGAATTTCTGCCTGGAGGTTTCACCGTCCTCAGGTTCCATG